TAATTTGCTTTCCATTCTCTTGGAATAACAAATATTAACTACTGGCACAAATCTGGAAGAGTTAACATATTTTATTCTGCATTTATAATGAAAATCTTCTAAGATTTCTCTTCTAAGTGTATTCTTATTTCATTAGCTATTCTATTTTTCTATTTCATTTCAGCTGTATAGCATCTTTTCTTAAGAAAAGATGGTTTCTAAAATAAATTTTGCTTGATGTGGATTACATTTTCAACCTAGCCAAGTTTTTTTCTTAATTTATTTTCTTTTCATCAACTGTGGTTTTGTATCTTGAAAGATTGTGCCCTATTGAATATCTGAAGATTTTTGTCAAGTCAGTGGTAAGCAGAATATAGCAGAATCAGATCAACGTGATCTAAACTGCTCTTGACAGCTCAGTCAGTGACTTTGTCAAGTAACACGTCTTTCTGAAAGAAGAAAGAGTGTAGCCAGTGGTGGTGACAGATGTCTATAGTGATGCTTTCTTTAGTTTGCACTAATGATCCTTGAGTTGCTTTTACAGAATATTTTTCTCACCAGATGATTGACGGTTTATAAGAGCTGCAGTTTCTACAGTCAAAACACCTAAGCTATTTAAATGACAGTCTTTTTTCTTTAACCTAAAAATGGTGCTTTTCTTTTTAGACCTAAACGTCTACTATGCACTAATTGTGCAATGTCTCTACACTAAATATATAACTGAATTTTGTTTTTTAATGTCTTTTGCAAAATGTTTTAGGTCACCTCAAGGAAAAGCAGGACCTCTTTGGCTTTAATTTATTATTTAAAATGGCTAAACTCCCTCAGGTCACGTCTCCCTGAAGACTGTGTACATTTGAACAGTACATTCCTTGTTGCTGATCACAGGACACAGCACTTCATATGCACTAACAATCTTTTACGCAGTGGCATCTGTACACTAAACAATTCTAATACACATTTTTAAATGCCCAGACTTAGATGTTTAGAGTCTAAGTAATTTGTTGTAGATTTCTGTAGTCTTTCAGCATCTTGCTTTTTCTACCAAGTACGCAGGCGTGTGTGATCAGGGTATCTTTGAAGATCCTGACATTGCAGCACTGGCTCTCCTCCAAGTGTATAGCCACATTCTGCAACATATAAAGAGAGAGATGTCAAAGTTACAGCTAAGCTCAAAAAATAATTTATCATCTCTGTGGGCCATGAGTGGAATCAAATGCAAGTGATGAGTTGCAAGCTGTGCTGAGGCCTCTGGCTTGCTGGGCTCTGGAGGTGGACAGAGGGGGCCAGGGAAGTGTCTGCAGAATAATGAGAAATCCATGTGATCCTGCAGTAAGTGGAAAACCAGAACTCGCATCACTGTTTGAAATTAGAGCATAGAGAACTTCTTCCCTTCTGAGTGAAGGACGGAAACACTGCTGCCAGCCACTGATTGGAACTATAGCTTTGTGATTCTCTGGGCTTAGACAGAAGGAAATCAACCCAGCCACAAACTATCAACTCGAGCAAATCATTCTCTGAATTAGTGATGTAACTGTTAATAATCTGGATGCAACCACAGTGTCATAGTCAAATCACTGGGAAAGAAGTTACAGATTTCTGATTCTGGGCGTAAAATGGGCAAAAAAATATTTTAAGAAGATAGTAATAGAGTCAATAGCAAAGCTGCGTAGAGACAATAAAATGAAATAAAACTAAATAAATTTCTCACTTCAAGTGAGCTTAAGAAATGTAATTCCAAAGAGAACTTGTAACACTAAGAAAGACTGAGGAAAAACTGGCCATTGAAAATAAGTATGTGCCAGGAGAATTTGAATATTGATAGAGACTGGCAAAGTAAATATCAAATGCCTAAAATGTAAGCAAAGAAATTCCATCCATTAAGGAAAAAGATTCTGAACCAAAAATAAGTCAATTCTCCAATTATTTATGTACAAAGATTTCTTGAGATCCTACTATGTTCTGCACAATATTACAGGTGCTGAAGACATAGCAGTTGTTACAGTTTAGAGGTAAAATATTCCCCAAAGTGTCTTGTTTGGAGGTGAGGCCTAGTCATAGCAGGGCAGGTCACAGAGGGCGTGACCCGGAAGGGTGTATTTTCTTCCCTGGCTCCTCCTTTCTCCCTCCCTCCCTCTCTCTCTCTCTCTGTCTCTCTCTCTCTCTCTCTCTCTGCATTCTAGCTGCCATGAGCTGCTGCTTTCTTCCAGGCTTTTCCACTATGCTGTTTCTGCTTTGGAGCTAGACAACTATGGACTAAACTCACTGAAAAATGTGAGACAAATCAATCACCCTCTCTCTCTTTAAGTTGTAGGTGTCAGGTATTTTATCTCAGCTATGGGAAAGTGTCTAATACAGCAATGATCAAAAATGGATAAACTCTACATTCAGGTAGGGTTAATGTTTCAGTAGGACATTTATCTTTTATGGCAGAAATAAAATAAGAACAAGTAGAAACATTGGAAATGAAAACAATGATCACTAGAATAAATTTCCTGGTAGAATAAATTCTACACTTGATATAGACACAGAGTTACTCATTTGGAAGTCGTTACTGAGGAGATTACCTAAAATTTAATAATGTGAAAACAAGACATTAAGGGGGGTTGGGATAGTAAAACAGGCAGAGAGAGAAAATATATCAGAAGATGTGGAGATGTGTGTAATGGGTATTCCAGAAGGAAAGAGTAGAAATGATGTTGCAAAGGCAAAACTGGGAGAAAGTAATAGCTAATATTACTTTAGAGTTGAAGACAAGGCTCCACTTTTAATCTACAATCTGAGAAGCTGTCTGGATAAATAAAAACAAATCTATACTTAAACACTTCATGGTTAAACTGTATGACATAAAATAAAAAGGAAACCCACACTATTAGAGGAAAAAAATACAGACTTACTTCAGATACCATTAGATTGTAATCAGATGTCGAGGGCAATACTTGGGGAAAAATTATAGGATGTAGCTCAGTGAGAAGGCTCAGGATTCACTCCAGTACCACAAAATTATGATGATAGTAATAGTAATAATAATAAAAATGACACTTCAACCCCCTTGATTTATCTCTTGATCCAGTGATTATAGTGACTGCTGAGTCACCTAGCAAAAAGGAGCTGTTTTGTCTTGGAACTTGGTAGCCATCTTAGTTCTTGTCAGTGTAACACAGTCATTGTGAGCTGGGTGCAGCCCAGCACCGCTGGAGTCCCCATGCTTCTGGCAGTGTATGTCTCCTGAGCCACTGCGAGCCGTGATCCAGACTGAAGGAACAACAGATGGTACCGAAAAAAAATCTCTTGGGGTTAGGAGTGAGTTCTACTGAGTAACAGCCAAATTTGGATTCCCAGTCATTTGTAGTTTTTTTGGAAAAGGGTGTTTAATCAGTATTTTAAAGAAGAAGAAAATAAAAATAAACACGATTGTCATTTGGGAAGTTACTTAGAGTTAACAATTTTCTAATTTATATTGTAAGATCTGATTAATCCATGCTCTTCATCCTAAAAAGACAAAGAAACAAACTGGTGGGCAGAATTCTCCTTCACTGATTTTGCCCATTAGCAACTATGAATTTGATAATAATTAGCCAATATTTCAAATTCTTTTTAAAATTAATTTTACTGGTACACTTTAGGTATACCATGTAATGATATTCATTATTGGAAATTTGCATATTTACATAATCTATCTTGGTTCTTATTTTTCCCCATTCCCTTGCCCTCCCTTAAACCCCTCCATCCCTCCCTATTTACAAAGATTTTGTTTCCAGTTTTCCTTTTCTCATACTAATTCCATTCCCTTCTTCCCTTCCCCTACCTCATCCATTTCCCCTTCCCCTTTGCCCCTTTAAATTCCTTTTTGTAGTTGTTTTTATTTGCTTGAGACAGAGTCTTGTTTTGTAGTGCTGCCTGGCCTTGAACTCACAATGTAGCCCAGGCTGGCCTCAAATTTGAACTCAAGGTAGTCTTTCTGCCTCAGCCTCCCCCATGCTGGGATTACAGATGTATAATCACACACCCAACATATTTTGAATTCTTGAAAGGTGATCTTAAACATCAGTCTAATCAGCTAATATGATAATTCATCCTAATACAATGGGACTTACTTTGTCATATTGACGTTAATTAAAAGTCACATCTTGGAGATAATTTCACTTCAGCAAAAATAGGTAACTAGAAGGTTAATGTGAATATATTCAGTGCAATTGAATTATATACTTAAGGTTTAAATTGGTAAATTTTATGTTATATGAATTTTAACCCAATTTTTAAAAATAGGTATTAGGTTAAAACTTAAATGTAGCCTATCATCTTCAAGAGTCATTTGAAAATTTTTGTCCAGTATTCAGTCAGAAGCAAATAAGGCAATAATTCTTTGGATTATTGCAAGCCATTGGAATTCAATTTAATAGGCATTACATGTTGCATCCTAACTAGAAAAAAAGACCAAGGCATCCATGAAATTTGACTTTCACTGTGAACATAGCTTACTGACTGAAAAGTCATCCAAGTATTTTGTTTAAAATTAGAAGTTGTTTTGTATTAGTTTTATAAGCTTACATTCTCACAATTAATGAAAATTGGATATTTTCCAATAGTAGTATTTCTTCAGCTTTCCCCATATTATCACAGTTATTAAAAAACACTTATTCTGTGCTGTGCACTGTTGTAAACATTTTCCTTTGAATAATAATAAAAAAAAAACAAAACTGGTTCTTCTTGGCAGTCTTCTGAAGTTGAAGCTTATGCCATTCCCAAATCACAGATAAGGAAACTGAGCTACTAAGACACTTCCATGACCTAAAGCCAAACACTATGTAATAGAGTTGATGGTGATTTTAATTGCTTTTGTTTTTTGTTTATTTTTATTTTTTGTGTTGATTTGTTTTGTTTTGAATGAATGAATACCTGTTGACTTTTGTGCAGCACCACCCATCCTTGTTCTTAGGGCTTTATTCTCTTCTTTAAAGAACATGTCTATGCTTTTAAAATTTTGTCTACCAATAAACAATTTTTTTGTATTCCTACAGGGCATTCTACGTGGACAAATCAAACTCTCCACCAAACTCCACATCCAAAGCTGCCTATGTAGATAAGGTAAAAATAGACATTACACTTATTGATACTTTGGTGTTCACAAACCTCCCTTAGTTTTCTGCTGTTCTTCTTGAGCAATATGTAATTATATTTAGTCCCCAATATTTAGTCTCCATAACCAAATGATATACCACGTTAAAAGCTACCACAGCTGATACTCCCAGCTAAAAGGATTTCTGCTAAACATGTTGAACTTTCTGTATGACACTTTTTTCTTGCAGCTAATGAGGTCTCTCAACGCTTTGGATGAACTGTATCGCCTGGTAACCTCGTTCATCAGATCCAAACGCATAGCTGCCTGTGCAAACACAGCTTGCAGTGCCTCTGGGGTTGGTCTGCTGTCAGTTTCCTCTGAGCTGTGTGAACGGCTGGGAGCCTGCCACGTCATCATGTGCAGCAGTGGCGTGCACCGGTATGTGAACTTCCTGCTTTGCTTGTATCTTTAGTCCACATTTTGCATGCTGGTCTTTGTCTGCATTTTTGGCTAAATGAAATTAAAACTGGGAACGTGCACAGGACTCAGGTGCATCTGGAGTAAGATTTTGGATGTTTTCTGGTTTTAGTTCTTATATTTTTAGTGACTATGCACTCCTACATTTATATCATGGTGGCCTGAAATCTTATTCCTTTTGCATATATATTACCACAGTTGTATTTCAGGTGGAAAAATGTACATTCTTGTTACTTGCTCTAGGGATTTTCTTGGTAGGAGCTGAACCCAACTAGCTTAATAAAACTTTTCTCACAATATGCAGTGGCTCACATCTCTGTCACCCAAGTGCTGTGAGTTAGATGTTGATCCAGGGTTGATGCTGCTTTCCTACATCAAAAACAGTAATGGTCCAGTAGCTCACTTAATACACATTTCTGGAGAACTCTAGGAAGAATCTTTGCCAGGTCCTATTCAGGCATTTATCCTAGACAACAGTGTTCTTTCTGTGGATGCTAGTTCATATAGTTCAGATAGACATACAAGTTCAAATAGCTACATCAGACTCAGGATGGAGAAGAGAGTGAGCATCCCCAAGTCAAATCTCTCCTCATAGCCATCACTCTTCTTGTACCACCTCTCATTTTCATGAGGAAGTAAAACCTTGTGGATGGAAATAATAGAACAGAAGATTAGCTTTATTTGTTTATTTTTGTTATTGTTGTTGTTATTTTTCAATATTGGGGATTGAACCCAGGGACTTCACAACTAAGCTTTCATCTGTGGCTCTTTTTTCCTTTGTTATTTGAAGACAGAGTCTTTCTAAATTCCTGAGTTGCCAGGCTAGGCTCCTACTGCCTCAGCCTCCCAGAGCACTAGGACTACAGGCATGTATAGCCACACCCAGCTTTTAGTCATCTTTTTAGTCTGAATAAGGAGATATAGTCTTCTGTCAGAGACATAGCTCTTAGTACCACGCCAGATTGAATTCAAAGATGGTATTTTTTAATTCAAATTTACATGATTCTTACACCAGGCAAAGAATTGTAGTTGGTGCTGCAGACCATGCTCTGTAACATCAGAAATCAGAGACATTTGTGGTGGAGACAAAAAGCATGAAAAGCAAACAACAAAAAACTGACAATAATAACAGTAATTAAACAACATAGGATAAAAATTACACAATGATTAATAATAACACAAGGAAAACTAGACTACAAGAACTTACCAATGACTAGGAAAGTTACAGCTAAGGATGAGATTCATTCTCATTCTTAGAGGTGGTTAGATCTCGGAACTTTCCATGGAGAAGATGATGTTCAAATTGGGGTTTGATGGATCAATTGTAGAGGTAAAAAGGGGACAGGCCATTCAAGCCTGGGCCTTTTCATCTGTAAAATTCTGTTTTGGCTAGTTTTGAAGTCCTACACAAAGTGATCTTGCTTATGAGATGTAGGAAGACTGTTTCTCTGAAGTGAACATTTTTTGTAATTAACAAAGCATGTGATAAAACCTTGTTTTAATTGCTATGTACTTGGTGCTCTCTTGCAAGCTTACTGATGCTTCAGCTGAACATGTTATCTTTAACTGAATGGACCTAACATTATTTTACAACCTTTTTACTATCAGAGATCTTTCCTTTTGAGTCACCTGTGTTTCTTCAGTTTGTCACCATTCACCCATTCATTATTTCCACTCATGTCCATTGAGCACTAATTAGGGGCCAGCATTGTCCCAGATGCTGGGGTTACTGAATTGGAAAAAAGAAGTCTCCCGATTTCATACAATGTGCATTGTTAGAGGGAAATGGATGATAAAGTAAACAAACAATACGCTGTGTGGCAGGAGGAAGAAATACACAAAAGAACCGGAATTGGAGAAGGGAGGTGACGGTACTAAGAGGAAACTATTCTCAGGGACTGGAAGATTTCACTGGAGACCTGTGTGAAGCGAAGCAGTGAGTTATGCACACGTCTCAGAGGAAGAGCTTCTGATCGTTAGGGTCAGAATCACAGATGTCCTGAGATGGGACTGAGTGTGCCAGCAGCATTCAGGGGACAGCAAGGGGTTCATGGTGGCCTCAGCAAATATTATTACCTTAGTTGTGTTCTACCTTGCCATACTTCGAGATCATAGTTACGAGAGGAACAGATGCACTGTGACAACTGAGACCCTTCCATCATAACTTAAAAACACATATTTTCACTTCCACATTAATTTACTGAAAGTTAATGCAGTAAAATGTGACATTTAGCCTTGAAGACCATGACCGGGTTGTCCAGATTACTCTCACAGATGATCCGTGAACAGTTTTAGAATGTGAGAGGTGTCAAACTTGACAGAGAAACAGTTTGAAGTTATACAACTATTTTATAAGTACTGCTTTCATTGATTGGTGTGTTAGAATCATAAGAAGCATGGAAGTTTTAAAACAGATTGACTCCTTTTCTAATTCAAAACAAATAGAGCTTTAGTTAATTTCAGGAGACATTTATTAAGATGTTGGCCCTAATATATATATCCATGATAGGTGCTAAATGCTAAATGTAAACTTTATTTGATAATCATGCATTTTTTTGGTTAGGAAGAATAAAATGGACAGTTTAACATAATCTTAATTTTTTGGTAAAGTCTCCACTTAGATATTTTTATGAAGATAAAATGTGTGCTAATCTATTTTGGAACTCAAAAATCCCACAGAAGGCTGTTCCTAAAATTATCCTTTAATAATTCTAATTCAGACAGCAAGAGAAGAACCCAAGCTGATCCACACCTGCTTGAAACATTATACAGGGAGGTTTACCCTCATCTTCCAACAGAAGGTAGAAATCATAGCATTAATCAGAATAAATATTAAGCAAGTTATTTTTATCATTTACTTTTCAAGTCAAGATAAGTAGTCGAAAATACAATATGGTATCCACATTAATCTATTCCATGCCTTTTCACATTTTATTGGGCAAAAAGGGGGATCTAAAATGTTTTTTAAAGTATTAAATTATGGGCTGGAGATTTAGCTCAGTGGTTCGGTGGCCTGCCTTGCAAGCACAAGGACTGAGTTCAATCCCCGGTAAAAAAGTATTAAATTAGACTGCACAGTTTGATATTAAAAGGAAGAAATTGGATTTTGGAAGGAAAAAGCAGATTTAATTAGCATTAGTGTCTAAATATTTTAATGCCATTCTGAATCCAGTGCCAGAGTGCATACAATAGTGCATATAAGATTAGTGGGAAGAGAATTTTCTATTAATTATTAAAATCTTCTCATAGCACTTAGCCTGGCTTTGTTTTCACTAAATTCTCTTTCCTAGGTAATCCTTTGCATGCTTTAAGAAGCAGCTGATGAATGCTCTAGGTAGTATTCTCTTTAGCCATTCACTTTTGTTTAAGGTCTCTGTTGCGTCTGAATTTTAGAATAGGATGGTCTCTTTTTAAAGAGTTTTTGATTTTTAAGCAATATAAACACGATTGAAAAGTGATTTAACAAAAGGTAAATTTTTTTTCAAAATTTTCTCTTCAGACATACTTTTTTTCATTTTGCATCCTTTTACAACTTTTGTCAAAAAATAGACATTTGAAACATTCTTTCATTAATGCATGTAGTATATCAGACTGCTTGTGTTGCTGTAACAAAATACTCAAGACCACGTAATTTAAAAAGAACAGGAAATCACTTCCTCACAGTGTGGTAGACTATACATCTAAAGGCAAGGCACTGGCCAGGGACCCCGTTTCTGCTTCCCAGATGACACCTTTAATAGTACGTCCTCACATGGCAGAAGGGGCAGAGGCCGAAAAGGAGGAAGGCAGCTTTTTTTGTGTGCCTTTTTTATAAGGGTGTTAATTCATTCATAAGAGCTCTAACCTCATTGTTTATTTACCTGCTAAAGTTCCCACCTCTTCTCTTACCCCACTGCTGGTTAAGCTCCAATATGTGAATTTTGGAAGGCACATCAAGAACAGAGTGTATGGTTAGTAATCTGTTCTACACTTAGAGCAGTTTATATGAATTTTCAAAATGTGCGTGTAGACTTTGAATGTGTTCCAAAAGTTCAGGTTGAAAGCTCAATCGCCACAGCACTAGTAATAGAAAGTAGGACTTACTGAAGAGGTGATTAGGTAATGAAAGCAGTGAATTAACATAATGTTACAGGAGTGGTGTAATTATCACTAGGGGTTGTTAGATTAGTGAATTAGATCCCTCTTGCTTCCTTCTGTTTTGTGCTCTCTTGCCCATCTACCTTTCAACCTGGGATAAGGCAGCAAGAAGGCCCTTGCCTGATGCAGGCCTCTCAACCTTAAATGTCTCAGCCTCATCGATAAATTACCCAGTACCAGGTATTCTTGGAGAGCAGGGCAACAGGGTCTAACACAGACTTTTTTCTTATCTGTGTAGCTTATCTGCTACCTAATATGCCAATCACTGTGTAAACCACAATTTACTAAAGTTAGGTGATTTCTTTCTCTACTGCTCATAATTCCATCAAAGAGGCATTTTTCTATATGCTCCTGTTCAAACATCAGTTTTATTTTCCCAGGCCAAAAGACAAGAAAACAAACATTTTCCAATTAGAACTACTGTGTCAAAGAATTTAAAGCTTTGGCTAATGTGCTGTTTAGGCTCCTAAAAGGATTTCCCTACTGTACGGTATAACCAGGAGGGTGGATAGCTATGTTGGTAGTTCTTGTACCCTTACCTTATCCACACAGGATATGAGAATCCTTTTGTGTATTGTACTTCTTCACTAGGTGGACAATTATATTATCATATTGCTTTAATTTATACTTCTTCATCCATTAATGAAAACTCTTTGTATCTTTGGGGTTTCTTTTCCTACAAAGACTTACATTGTGCATATGCCTGTTTTATTGACAGCCATTTTTGCCAAGCTGAATGTTTTAAAGGCATTGAATCAGCACTGTTGCTTTTCAAGTTCTCTTCTGTACCCATGCCAGTTATTTGTGGCAGGCAATCAAAAGCT